TCCCTGCCTCTGCACCTTGTCTCTGTCTCCTCTTTATTATTATTTACACCTGGAGACCCTCTCACAGCAGTCTCAGGGAGGGCTGTGTCTCTGTCTGCCATTCGTGATTGAGTACCTGGCTGTTCTCAACCTCTGCCCAGATGGGTTGTTGCCAAGGGGATGTTAGCAGATGGGACACTGGCCAGGCCCTTACTGGCCTCTGGAATGTTGAATAGGATGCCAAGGGAGTCCTAGCTGTCCAAGAGGATGTCAGATAGAGTGCCAGCAGGGCGAGTCCTGAATGTCTTCTACAGGGGACCATAGGCGCCTTTGTGACTGCACAGAAGAGACCCACAGAAGACACCTGAACTGGATCCAGCCTGGCCAAACCTAGCCAAGATCAGCCAAACCATGGCCTCCTGCAGAGGCCTGGGGTGGCGGGTTATGTGGAGTTATTCTGGGAATAGCCAACTGATCCAGGATCACTTTGCCCCTACATAGCTCTCTGGGGCAATATCCAAGATGACCCAAGGCCAGCTCCCTCCAGGGATCACCACCTAAGCCCAGGCAAATGAGTACCTTCCTGCCACAGAGCTCCTCCACATCCTCTGGTCTTAATATTTTACAGAATTTCTTTTGATGTACTAGGGATGGGTTTTATAGTTGTAAATTATACCTCAATACAGATGTAAAGATGGCCAATAGGAGAGAGAGAAGACTTGGCACAATCACCGTGAGATTCGGTGCAGCGATTCTGAGCACACTGGTTGAGTGCTGCCAGCCGGAATCCATCCCCCTTCCTGCTCCCGGATGGGGGTGGTCTGCTGTCTCTGTAGGAAGGCTGCCCCTCCCAGAGCAGCCTTGTCCTCCTCCATGCAGGCCCCTTTGCGCCCTGCCAGCCCTGCCATCTGATGCTCTCGTTGCCTGGAGGGAAGAGGCTGGTCGGGGTGGGTCCAGAAGTGGCACTGCTTGATGCGTCTTCTGTCCCAGTCCCAGTCATTGGAAAGCTGTGTGCAGAGGAAGGCTGATTCCTTCAGGAGACAAGGTGCATCTGCGGGAAGGGCAACGTCCTTAGCCTCATCGGTGTTTCCCAAGTGCCCCTATCTGAACCCCAAGGCGCTCCTCCTTGCAAGGGTTCCATTAACAGGCAGGGATTGGTGTTAGGTGTCAACTTGTCTGGGTATTGCTTACTTTTTTCTTTCTTAAATATTTATTTTTTAGTTGTAGTTGGACACGATATTTTATTTATTTATTTTTTATGTGGTGCCTAGGATTGAACCCAGGGCCTTGCACGTGCTAGGTGAGTGCTCTACCACTGAGCCACAACCCCAGGCCCTAATCTGGGTATTTCCGTGAAGGTGTTTTGTAGGTGCAAAGAACATCTCTGACCAGTCAACTTTAAGTAAAGGATGATACTTGATGATCCAGGTGGCTGTAGCCAATCAGCTGAAAGACCTGGAAGAGAGGGTTAGTAGAAATAAGGACAAGAAAGATGCTTCTGGTAGGGCAGGTGGGAATGAGGAGCCTTATTAGAAACTGGAGGAAAATTCTCCCAGTAAAAGAGCAGCAGAAGACTGGACTGGATTGCACTCTTCCATCAGTGGACGGCAGAACTGAGGAACATGGCTACGTAGATGAGGAGATTCCCAGGTAAAGAGGTGTTAAAGGTATGCGCTAGTGTCCTCCTGCTGCTCATCTTACAATGTGAGAGGAAAGAGATAAGGTAAAGAAGATCTGCTAAGCAAACATAAGCTAGCACTTAAATTATCCCGGAGGCTCTTTGCCTTGCAAAGGATGCTGACATCAGGAAGCTCACTGTTGGGAAGGCACGTCCCGCTGTCCTGCGTGAGGCTGAGGGTGTACCAGTGCACGTTTTGCTGAAGGGACTGGGCTGGAGTCCCGACTCCACTGGGCTCCCTCAGCAGAAGCTTTGGAGACGGGCATCCTGGAAGATTTGTGGAGCACTCTCCTAGTTACCGGGAGGAGACTCACAGGCTTTTGGGAATGCTCAATCAGCAGAAAGGTGGCCACCTTGGACCTAAAGGGAGACTCAGGGCAAAGTGAGGGAGTGCCAACAGACTGCTAGTGGGCAATGGGCGCACCTGTGTGCTGCCCTTCACGAGAAGGGGAGAACCTCGGTGAGGAAGACCCAGAGACTGCTGGGGGCTCCTTTGGCTGAGAGTGGAGTGCTGAGCTGCAGGGCTCTCATCAGGCCTGGAACTCAGTGGAACCTCCCCTGCTGGGTTCAAACTTGCCTGGGGGTAGGGGAGGACGGCAGCTCTTGGATTCCTCCCTGTCTTCCTTTGGAAAGGAAAGGTGTCTTATTCCTGTACCCTTTCAGCTTGGAAGGAGATAACTTGTTTTCTAAGGTTCCAGGTCCACAGATGGAGTGGTATCTTACCTCAGGATGGATCACAGCCATAGTCTCCCCCATACAGTTGTCCCTCCTTTTTCAGAGGACGAACATCTGAAGAACCCCAGTGGATGCCTGAATCCGAGGATGTGTGTGCCCTGTATATGCTGATATTTTCTACACATACACATGCCTTCATTCTCAACTAAGTAAGAACTCTCACACTGGTGGTAATGTTGCAAACCGAGGTGTGATAGCAAAACCAGCAGAACTTTCCTTTCCTCCTTCACAATTTCATGGTTAGAAGATTCACTTTTACCATAGATCTTAGCACCTCAGCATACATTTTTTACTTAACTTCATCGAGAACTTTAAGTTTTAACTTAAAGGAAGCACTTTATAGCTTCTTTTTAGCATACCCAAATTGCCAGCATCACTACTCTTGTACGTTATGGTCATTATTAAGATAAAGAAAGGTCACTGAGCACAAGCACTGCAATACTAGGACAATCTGCCTGCTAGCTGAAACAGCTGTTAAGTGAGTCAAGGGTGGATAGCATATACAGCATGGATACACTAGCAGGGGTGGTTCAAGTCCTGGGCAGGTAGAAGTCACATGGTAAGAGGTTTCACACTGCTCAGAATGATGCACAATTTCAAACCTAAGAACTGTTTATTCTGGAATTTCCTGTTTAATAATTTCAGACAGCAAATGATTGAGGGCAACTGAAACCACAGAAAGTGTGACTGTGGTGGGGTGGGGTACTACTGCACCTGATTTAGATGAGGAGCCTTGGGACTTTGTGAGCTGGAAACATTCAGATGAAATTTTGGACTTAGAGCATGCTGTGAAGGCTGGGACCCTGGGGGCTGTCAAGCAGCTCGCAGCCCTTGTTGATTTCCCTGTCCCTTTCCATTCCTTCAGCGCTGCCCAGCCTCAGCTCCCCCCAGAACTTCACCTTGGAGAATGCCCCGCCCTCTTAGAGGCATTCCTGCACTGGCTCTGGCATGAAGGAAGACTCACCTTCTCTGCAGGGGTGGCATTGGTGCTTTCAGCATGGTGTTAGAATGGTGAGGGCTCATCATGGAGCCACCAGGTTCTCTGCCAGGGAGGCCAGAACTTGCCTCTGAGCTGGAAGTTCACTCGGGTCTGGAGCAGGCAATTGCCAGGCAGGTAAGAAGGCTTGGGGAGCCAGTCCCTCAGGCTGACCTAGGCTATGCTGTAGTAAAAACACCCCCAAATCTCTAGATCTCAGTAATTTAACAAAGCAGCAGATGTCTCCCTGTTTTTTATGCTCAAATGGGCTGGGAGGTGGCCCATGGTTTTCTCCAAGAGATGGGAGTTCCCTCTTGGTCAAGGGTGTAAGTGTGGACAGTAGGATGTAGCCCCTGAAATGTCGGGCCCAGAAAGACACAGGTCACCTGTGCTCATATTTCTTTGGTCATGCAGGTTAGATGGCCACACTGAATTTCAAAGGTGTAGGAAGGGCAGAGCCCTGCTATGAACTATAAAGAAAGGGGACCTGGACCCAGGGGCGGGCAACAGCTCTTCCAGGAGTGACCCTACTAGGGCTTCACGTAAGTTGGACAGAACAGCCGGCTTTGTGGCCTGGCTGCAAGGCAGAACCTAAGAAGGCAGAGCCTTCCAAAAGCTAGACAACTGACTGCTCAGTGACAAGGCAATAGACACAGGAAGCTAAGCGCTACGGAAAGAGCCGCCTCTTAATTGCTGAGCGCGTTTTTCCCACGGTCTCATCCAGACTTTGCAAAGGGACAGAGATGCACCGAGGCCAAACCACGCCCCAAGACTCTCAGATAACTGCAAAGGCCGTGCAGAGCCCAGCTGTTGGTATGAGATTTCCGGAAGGCCATGGGGCCTTGGACGATCTGAACGATTCCACTGGGTGCAGACCGGGGCGGGGAGAACGGTACCAGTCCAGTGCCTAGGCTGGGAGAGGATCCAGCACAGAGAACCCGCCTGTGCGGACGCACGTGCTCAGGGTAGCCTCGACACTGGGCGCGCGCGCGCGCCTCCGAACCGGGCCCGGGCCGCCCTCGTGGGGCGGGGCTGACGGGTCAGTCCCCGCCCCTCATCTCCATCCTCTGGGGGCGCCGCGCTCGCGCGCCACCTGCAGCAGCAGAGCGGGATCGCGCCTGGCCCACGCCGCAGTGCTGCACGACCTGACCGCACCCGGGTCCGGCCCCGCGCGGCCGCTTCCCGCGTCCCAGAGCCCGGCCTCGCAAAGCCCAAGGTCGCAGGCTGAAGTTCGAGGTTCCCTCGATCGGCTGGCAAAAGTCCCCGGGCGGCATCTTTTCACGAAGGCAGTGGGAGTGGAAGGCCAAGGGAACCCCGAGCCCCCACGGTCGCCACACACCGGAGGAGGCTCCCCGCAGCCTTTACTGGCGGAGCCAACACTGTTCTCGAGATCCCGGCCTTCCTGGGCCTCCGAGGCAGCCCGGCTCGGGCATCCTCGCTCGTCCTCCCGGGCTCTTGTCTCTGCCTCCTCGGCGGTGCCGCTGACCCGCGCGGACCGGACACGCTCGCTGGGTCCCAGACCCCGCGTGCGCCCAGCTCCGCTCACCGCTCCCAGCGCCGGCCCCTCCCGGCCCCGCCCGTCTCCGCCCCGGCGCTGGGCTCCACCCTACTCCCGCCTCGACCCCTCCCGCCCCAGCCCGCCCGGGCGCTCGCAGTCCTCGGGGCCAAGAGCTGCCCAGGCGAGCGAGAGCCCGAGGCTGGGCGCAAGGCGGGAGCCGCCGGCCCCTCGAGTCCCGCTCCGCTCCCGCCCGGCCCGGCGGGAGGGCCATGCTCCGGGTTCTGGCAGAGGCGCGCAACCAGGCCCGGCGATGAGGAGCGGCGCGGAGCGCAGGGGCAGCAGTGCCACTGCGCCCCCAGGGTCACCGCCCCCCGGCCGAGGGCGCCCCGCTGGACCCGACGCGCCCCCGGCCCTGCCGCCGCCCGCCGCTGGCCAGCCCCGGGCCCGGGACGCGGGCGATGCCCGAGCGCAGCCGCGCCCCCTGTTTCCGTGGAGCAAGTGGAAGAAGAGGATGTCCATGTCGTCCATATCGGCGGCCACGGCGCGGAGGCCGGTGTTTGACGACAAGGAGGACGGTGAGTGTGGCCAGGGACAGCTTGGGGACCTAGCCCTCTCGCAAGGGGGATGTGGGGGTGACATTCTTTGCGTTCCGACGCAGCCGCCCGGGTAGGACTGTGTCTGGGTTACCGAGGAAACTCGCGGACCACTGCTGAGTACCCAGTGGCTGAGCCGCGGGAGTAGCCGTGTTGGGCGGGTCCTGCTAGATGAGGGTCCATGGGCGCTGGGGGCGGCTCTCAGCTTAGGCGCCCTGCCGCTCACCGTGGGGGGCACCTAAGGTTTCATTTTCCCTGGGGCAGTGTTTCAGGCGTGGTTGGTTCCTTGCCTTTCCAGGAGGCGCTCACCTGTAGTGTGCCGAGTTTTCAGAAGTGAAATGCCTGTCCACAGGTGGCACGAGGTGTGTGTCGGGGGAGCTGGCCCCTCTCAGTCTCCAGGGTGACCGTGCAGTGCCAGTGGCATGCCGGGCCTTTGCTTTGGGCTGGGCTGTGGAGCCAGGGCCTCGCCTTTGTGCAAAGACCTGCCCTCTGGGGAACCAGTGTTCTGTAAAGTCCTTCTGTAGGGAAGGCTGCCAACCTGGAGGAATGTGTCTCTTGAGTGACCTGACTGAGGTGGGCTCTGAAGGTGACAGGCGTCAGGCAGCTGGCTGTGCACTGCACACCTCCTGGGGCTCTGCCGGGTGACCTTTGACAGCACCCCATGGGAAGGTGATGTGCAGTGGGCGCCTTGGGGCCACTGTGCTTAATTCACATGCAAACATATAGCTTTTTTTCCTACAGATGTCATGCAGATAATTTTAAATGGTACAATGATGACACATTTGATGTTTTTTTGACATTTTCTTAAAATAGTTGAAGACCGCATTTTCATTTGTAGGCAGCCTGCAGAGGTATGATGGATTCTTTTTTCTTTTTTTTTTTTATAATTTAAGAGCACAGCTCAGTTCAAGAGCCCAGACTATTTATTTCCAATAAATAATTTAAGCACTATGGGAAATTACAGCAGGACCTCAGGCCAGTGTGAATGCACGTGCCCTCATTTCTCACAGAGACAATGTGGGGTGGCTAGCCAGGGCTCACCAGGCCTCGGGGGAAGAGGTCGGCAGGGGAGTGGGGTTCTGCAAAGCAGTGTCAGACACAGTGTGTTCTGGGGTGGTCTGTCATTGTGTTCTGAGCTCTGGGACAGCAGAGCTCACTGTGATGACTGTTTCCTGGGTTGTGTTTTTGTTTTCAACATTAATATTCAAAGTGTAAAAAGCCCAGAGTGAAGCAGGAGCTAATTAGAAAGGAGATCTACATCTAGTTTCTGGCTGCAGGATGACAGAGGTCTGAGAAACATACACTCAGTGCTTGCTGCTGCTGGCCGAGAGACGCTGCCCCCCTGTGTCTTAGTGTCATCTCTCCAAGGCAGCAGATGTGGAGATGTGGTGCAGCGCTGCCCTCAGACTTCGGGGGTAGACTTTCCCTGCTTGTTCAGTGTGTTGTGTCTCAGAATCCAAGGATCATTCAGAAGGCAAAGAGAGCAAAGGATCTGTTTATGGTACTCGCTGTCTGATTTGAGAATTATTTTACACATTCCCACCTCCTTATTTGCTTGTAGTAGGATGGCAGAGGTACGGAGTGTTCTGGGCTTTGTGTGGGGTGGTTAATTGGTGCTGGCTCACAGAGCTTGCTCTCTGTGTATGTAACTGTCACCAGCTTATCACTGGGCACAAGGGACACATCCCCACACCGAACACACCGCTGGTGTTTAACTGGGCTTTAGTGAGATGAGGAGGTCAAGCCTGGCCCTGGTCGCAGCTGAGCACATTCTCTGGTGGGTGACACTCAGTGTCACTTTTCTATGCTGTTGGTAGGGCACAAACAGCTTGAGAGATAACCTGGTACTTATCAAAGAGGGCTGTATGCCCTGAATGTGAAGACCATGGATTCACGATACAGTCTGGACAGGCGAGGACGCCTGGTTCAGGAAGAGGCTGTGGCCTGGTCCCTCAGTTTTGGGGAGACACAGTCACTCCCCTAGTCTTGGCCCCACTATAGCCAGCCTTCAAGCTGTGGCTGTGCTGTGCTGGTGGCTTGCCTGTACAGGAACTGCACAGTTGCCATGGTAATGCAAGGCCTTCTGATGAGTTTTTTTTATATTAAAACACCTAATTAATATGAAGAGAAAAAATTTAAAAACAGTAAAAAAGAAAATAGGAGGGCAATTTAAGTGCCAGGTAAATTTCAACTAAAAAGTATAGTTATGACATGTAAGAGCTTAAATGTCCTCTGTTCTTGCTTCCCCCTGGGGAATCCAGAGCCTCATTCCTTCTTCGGCAGGTGTTTGGTGCACTGTGGAATTCTTTGCTTCTCTTCCTCACTCTAGGGCTCCTTTTTCCTTCCCATGGGCCCCATGTCCCTCTGTGTGCCATTTCTTCTGGGGTTGAACCTGCTACCAACCTCATTTCCTCTGTGCTCTGCCACAGAGCTGCAGGGAGCTGGGCAGGCCCCTCACTCCTCTGCTTCTGTGTCCCTGTCATGCAGAGGGCCTCCGGGCGAGTAGCCTGGGGAGGGCGTGGCTGCTTGCCTCAGACCCACTGTGGCCTTAGCTTACAGCTTGGAGTGGTTACACACGGAGGGGACTTGACTGGGCCCAGAACACTGGGAGGAAGTGAGGCCCTTGTAGGCAGCGATGCCTGGTACCCTTGGTTGGGAGAGTGGAGTTGGGACAGGGGCTTCCCAGTTCTCCAGTCACTGCTTTTATAATTAAAACACTAAAGAGAAAGGAATTTTGTTTTTCTCATTTCCGTGCATTTTGCCAGGCTCTGTGGAACCTGAGCTGTGGTGCACGTCCCAGCCTCCTTGGAATCTGGATGCAGTCCTGCTGCCATATAGAAACACACCTTTGCTGCATTTTTTTTTTTTTTTTTTTACAGAAGCGGGGCTGTGCACCATATACTGTTGTGTTGAAACCTAGCTTTTTATGTAGTGAGATGCTGTCGATGTCTTGCAGTCTGAAGCATTGATGGCTAAGTTCACAGTAGCCATTTTCACCCTGAGGAGGGTAGCAGATTTTGTGGGTGTTCTAAAAAGGCTCCACTTCTCTCTCAAGACCCTGTGGTTGAATTGCTGGGTGTGGGCATGCTGTGGGTGGTCTTAGGTCTCAGGGCATGGTGTGGATACTCTCCTCCCTGAGCCTCCTTGTGATTTTGAGGCACAAGGGGCAGATCACTGCTTTATTGTCTTCCTGTGTGGACGTGATTTTCCCTGTTGACTTAATTTCCTGCTTGATGTTTCTGTGTTTAGAGTAGCATCAACTCTGTGGACAGGAGTATCTTTGCACAGCCAGCTTAGGGCACGTGTCTCTTACCTTAGGACACATTTCCAGGAATGCCAGAGCTAAGCCAGAGGTCCAAGCAGAGTGTCGGGATGCGTGTGGCTGGCCCCCCGGGGGGGAGTGGAGCTCTGTGACCAGCTATCCTGGGCACGGCTGCACAGTGAGGACTTCTTGGAATGGCCCTGCTGTTGTGGGGCGACTAGACCAGAGGGAAGTGGGGAGCCTGACAGTGTGCAAGGGGACATAAATAAGTCACATGAGTGGAAACGGGGGCCTGGAAGAGCGAGCAGCAGAGGAGACCTGCTTAGGAGCTGGCCAGGGAAGGGGAGGTCAGTTTTACTTGCTCCAAGGGTCCTCTCCGAATCCTCCTTACATTGTTAGCAGTGTTTCTTTTTCTTTTCTTTAATCTAAGAGATAAACAAGATGGCATTAATATTTTGCAGTTTCTTTGATCACCAGTGAGATTGCTAACCTGCTTTTCATGTTCAAAGTATCTTAATATTTTTCTTTGTTTGGTTATTTTTTGCAATTTACTAGTGAGTGCTCTTGGCTGGGGTTTTGTGTTGGACAATTGCTGTCCTGTTCTTTTTCTTTCTTCTTTGACTAATGACATCAATTGTACAGATTGATGGGTTTCATGGCAGCACACTGGTGCGTCTGTATGACGTGTTTTGATCTTGTCTCCCCTGCTGTCCTGCCTCCCTTCCCGATCCCCTCTCCTCCTTGTGGTCTCTCCTCTGCTTCCACGTGGTCTTTCCCTCTAGAGTTCACGCATGAGTGCTCCTTGTCTTTGAGTCTTTCATCCACCAAAGTGACCTCTGGGGGGCCGGGCTGGGGCTCAGTGGTAGAGCACTTGCCTAGCATGGGTGAGGCCCTGGGTTCGATCCTCAGCACCACATAAAGGTAAATAAATAAAGGAATTGTGTTCATCTACAACTAAAAACCATTTTAAAAAAATGATCTCTGTGTCCGGTACCTTTGGACCCTTCCTTATGTAGAAAACTTGGCCGTGAACAACCTTCTGCTGTTTGCCATTTACCTTTTCATGCGGCTGGGTTTTCCTCCTCTAGGGATGTGCTCAGTCCGTGTGTGGTCAGGTTCCTCCACGTCCACTTCATGGAAGTGTCCCGCCTTGGTGTGTGTTACAAAGTCCTTTTCCAGCCACAAGTAATAATAGTTCCACTTGTAAATCTGCATTCATACTTTCTTCTACCACTTGTGTGGTTCTACCTTCTATATTGAAAATTTCAATTCATTGGAAACAACGTTTGACATACTGTGGGAAAGAGTTCCCTCTGTGTGTTCTGTACTTGATTAAGCTGAACACACTTAGGATGTTATTGAACCCAGGGCCTTGTGCAAATGAGGCCAGCACTCTACCCAGTGAGCTGTTTCCCCAGCCCTTAGGATGTTTCTGAGGTTAAAAGTCACTCTTGTTGTATGTTGGTGGCTCCTTGTTGATCTGTGAATGGGAGCTTTCCATGCCACGCATCACTCTGGGTAGTGCTGGTATAATGGAAAACCACTGTAAAACATTCATCTTGAATGTGGCCACTTCGCCTTGCCATGATTAGTCCTCATGTTTTTTGGGTTACTTTCCTTCTGAGTGATCTGTCAGGTGACCTGTGACAAATGACTCAGTTTACCAAATGACATGTTTTGTCCTTTGTTTTTCTTTTTCAAAAAAAAATTTTTTTTAGTT